TGCCGCTGAGCGGTCAGAGAGATGTTCCTTGGTGGGTACCATTCTAATTTAGAACTCCGGATAATGTGGCCATTTAAAATAAGGATGACACAGTGGCAACGGTGATAACATAAATCCGCACTGGATCTCTTACTGCTACAAACTTTTTGGCTGGCTAGGGAACTAACTATTATTGTTTTCCCAAGCACTATGTACAGAGTTCCAACGATCTGATCTATGGGAGTTCTTGTCACTTGCTGCCTGTATGCTTGGACATATCTACCTGCCCAGTGAGGGGAGACAGGCCTGGATCTTAACTGACTTTGCTCACTAAGGGATTCCCTCTGACCTGCACGGGGTTTGGCACATTGGCTATAATCAGAAATGATTTGTTGAATCATTGAGTAAATTCTAAGGTTTGGAAGAGAGAGATTTCCCACTCCACTGTCTCCTCATGCCGGACATGTGCTTTCTTACAACGAAACAACAAGCCATCTCATGAAGAAGAGTATTTTTCTTGAAATATGGTAGTAGCTTCTCAACAGGTATCCCATTATAATAAAAGCTTAGCACTGTCCATGCATTCACAATGGAGTTTTCCCTTTACTACAGGTTGAATAGTTGACCAATGAGTAGGCTCCAAGGTCCAGTTTCTTTCTACATATTCTTGACCACCACTTTTTTTTTGAGGGGTATCCTCACTCGAGGACATTTTTTCATTTTTTGTTCAGATAGAGTGGGAGGGAGAGAGAGAGAAATATCGATGTGAAAGAAACACATCGAGTGGCTGCCACCCACACTACCCCAACCAGGGCCGGGGACAAACTGCAACCGAGGTACGTACCCTTAGCAGGAACTGAACCCAGGACTTTCTGGTCCGCAGGCCGATGCTCTAACCGCTGAGCCGAACCGGTCAGGGTTTGACTACCTTTTTTTTTTTTTTTTATGAATAACAAAAATTTATTTCTCATAGTTCTGGAGGCTGGGAGTCCAAGTCCAGGATGCCAGCCTCGTTAGGTCTGGCAGGGACATCTTCCAGGTTGCAGACAGCCAACTTCTCCATGTGCTCACAGGGTGGACGGGACGAGGTGTTGAACCTCTTTTGTAAGAGCAATGACCTCATTCATGAGGGCATCCTCATGACCTAATCACCTCCCAAAGGCCCTACGTTCTAACCCTATCACCTTGGGTTTCCACATATGAATGCGGTGGTCCCACAGACCATAGGATTACCTTTCTTCCATTCTAGCTCTATGTTAGAAGCACCGTGGAGCAATTTATTTTTTTTCCTTTTTATTTTATTTATTAGGGTGACACTGGTTAACAACATTATACAGGTATCGGGTGCACAGTTCTACAATACATCATCAGTACACTGTATTGTGTGTTTACCACCCCAAGTCAAGCCTCCGGCAGCCCTTTCTTTTCATCTGGAAGGCACAAACTTTAAAAGAAAAAAAGCGGCAAACCCACATTGTAGCCTTGCAGGTGGCTTAGTTTTTATCCCGTTAGTCCACCATCTTTCCGTTCCCTGTAGGCCATTAGACCGCCCTCCACACCAGGCAAGGCTCAGCCAGGGATGGGAGCAATTACATTTCACATGAAGGTGCCACCTGGCACAAGGTTGACCACCATTTTTAAAGGTTCTCTAACTTCCTCTGTTTTCCTTCATCCCAGAATTTCCCTTGTTAGCCTTTTAGCGACTTCCTCGTCTCACAATAGTTTCTCAGACACGGAATGCTTGCTTTTCGCCCAGGCTCATCATCATTACTGGATCCGTTTGCTTCGACAGTAGCTCCATGCTCTGGTCAGCCACAAGCTGGCACCGGTCTGGGTAAGCTGCAAGGGACTATGCAAGCAGAAAGATCGAGAAGAAGGCTTAAACTGGAGCCTTGGACCACAGACCCAGAGCAGACTTTGCTGTAAAGCAAAAGGTTGGAACCCAGCAAATCCAGAGGCAGAAGCTACCAAATTGCTGAGTAACAGGATTCTCCTACAGGCCCTGACGGTTTGAGACAACTGAATGTCACAGTTGGTTCTGTGGGCAGTTAAAGGTCTGATGCGAGGGAGATCACATCCACAACACAAGGCCAACGTAGAGCAAAATGGCTTTATAGCATGTGCCTGGGTGCAGGCGGGCTGAGCCAAAAAGGGTTCAGCTTCAAATAACAGTTGGGGTGTAGGTTATATACTCTACTTTTAGCTTCCAGCAGCTCCTGCTGACGTACTCTGCATGACCCATTGTCCACTTTGCAGTTGGACTGGTCTGGTACCTCATCCAGATTGTCTTGCGGATAACCCGAGAATCCTTATCTGTACTCAATAGAAAGCTGAGCAAAGGTCATGCAAGCAACACAATTTTTCACAGTTTCCGCCTTTTGCAAGCTTTTACCCTTACCCTTTAAAATCTTACTAACGCTCTGGCCGGCTTGGCTCAGCAGTTAGAGCGTCAGCCTGCGGTCTAGAGAGACCCAGGTTCGGTTCCCACTAAGGCCATGTGCCTCAGTTGCAGTTTGTCCCCGGCCCTGACCCAACCAAGGCTATGCGGGAGGCAGCCACTTGATGTGTTTCTTTCACGTCGATGTTTCTCTCTCTCTCTCTCTTCGACTCCCTCCCTCCCACTCTATCTGAACAAAAAAAATGAATAAATATTCTCAGGTGAGGATAAAAAAAATGTTACTAACCTTTTTGGGCAGGAAGAAACTCAAGCAGAGTACAGGGTTGGGGGAGACAGTGGAGCAGGGCGATGGGGTATGAACAAGGTGCCTGAACTGCACATGTGGTTGGAATCACTGCCTGGGCATTTTGCCATGCTGGCAGACCGCAACCCTCATCTGACCACGGCTTTGCTCATAGTGCCCATGGCCACTCAGTTACGTCCAGTTGTATTACTACCTCCTTATGGTATGTTTTGGAATTGTGAGAAGGCTGTGAGAAAAACTGGGAGACAGTTCTTCCAAATCCTGAGGATACTGGTGAGACAGAATCCTTTCAGATGACACTAAAATTTTGCTATTTCACAAATAACAACTATTCTTAAAAATTAATTCACTGCTAAAATTCCTAAATAAAACAGACATTGCTTAATGACAAGGGGGAATGCGATACCTACAGCTCCATTCTTCAGCTTCTTGGGCTCCCAAATAAGGTTCCCACAGATGTTTTTGGAATAAATATTAGTTCACACACTGCAAAGTTTACGAACTTAGGGAAGTTGCTTGTCTGGTTCATTGTGTGTAAAATGACTATAATAATACCAGTGTTACAAAGAATAGAGTAATACCTTTATGTCTTTTGCATAATGATTGCAACAGAGTTAGAACTCAGTGATACTAGCTATTATGAAGGTTATAAATAATGAAATTCACCTTGGTATGAAAAAATATAATTATAAAAATTAATGAGCATGTAATCCCTCCACACGCCCCCAAAAACAGAATTCATAGAATGAAATGGTGGTTCCCATAGGCTGGGTTTGGGAGCAAATAGAAGAAAAAATTTTTTTAAGTTTTATGTATATATATATACACACACACACACACACACAATTTTTATTAATTTATTTTTGTTACAGAGGTTTCTCCTTTTTCCCTCCTAGTCACCCTCCTCTCCATCCCACCCCCAGCCCCCCAGCATTGTTGTCTATGTCCATTGGTTACACATACATACATATAAGTTCTTTGGTTTATCTCATCCCTCCCTCCCCCCACCCCCCTCCTCTGATGTTTGTCAGTCTGAATCATACTCCTTTCTATGTCTCTGGGTCTATTTTGTTCATCAGTTTGTTTTGTTCATTATATTCCACATATAAGAGAGATCATGCGGTATTTGTCTTTCTCTGATTGGCTTATTTCGCTTAGCATAATACTCTCCAGGTCCCTCCATGTCGTCTCAAAGGATAAGAGATCTTTCTTTCTTACAGCTGCATAGTATTCCATTGTATACATATACCACAGCTTTTTTATCCACTCATCTACTAATGGACATTTGGGCTGTTTCCAGATCTTAGCAATTGTAAGTAGCACTGCTATGAACATATATTCTTTCTGATTGGTGTTTCAGGCTTCTTAGGATATATTCCTAGAAGTGGGATCACTGGATCAAATGGCAGATCAATTTTTAATTTTTTTGAGGAAACACCATATTGTTTTTTATAGTGGCTGCACCAGTCCGCATTCCCAAGAAGATACTTTTTTAAAGAGAAAGTATAATGGTCATTGCCAGGAGCTGGAGAGGGGGGTCATGGAGAGTTAGTGTTTAATGGGTAGAGTTTTCGTTTTTCAACATGAAAGAGTTCTGGAGATGCATGTTGCTGACGGCTGCACAATACTATGAATGTGTTTAATGCCACTGAACTATATACACAAAAATGGCTAAAACAGTCAATTTTATGTTATGTGTATTTTACCAAAATTTTTTTAAAATGAGGAAAAAAAGAGAAACACTGATTATAGAAGTTTATAAAGATACAGGCCTGTAGCTCCAAAAAGTAGACTGAAAAATTCTTTTACTGACAAATTGTGACTTTTAAAATATTCCTGCAGTATTTCTCTGAACTTGCTTTGCCAGGAGGCTTAGCAGCGCAACAGGACACTCGGCCTGGGGAATTCACTTCCACTATGAGGAAGTAACCCTGAGAAGCATGCCAGCTACGCTGTGCTGGCAAAACACCCATTGGTAAAAGCATCACCAAGTTATAAAGATAATTGGAGACTTTGAACTTAGAGTCATTAAGTTCATATTTGAACCATATATAGAAAATATAATGAGTTTCCATTAAATAAGGAAAACAAAGTCTTTTATGAGTACCTGAGCACCCAAAAGAAGTGTCTGGAGAACTTACTAACCTATCAGTGCCGTTTCAAAATAAAATAATCAAAAACAAGGAAATGACCCTGTGTCCTGGGGTTATCAGCACCAGGCCAGGGTATATAAGGGCCCCGATGGGGAGGAGCACAGTCACACCTGAGAACACCCGAATCCTCGCACCAGTCCAAGCCAGCCCAGCCCCAGACACCACCATGACCGGCTCCTGCTGCGGCTCCACCTGCTCCTCCTGCTGTGGGGGAGGCTGCTGCCAGCCCTGCTGCTGCCAACCCTGCTGCTGCCAGCCCTGCTGCTGCCAACCCTGCTGCTGCCAGCCCTGCTGCTGCAGAGACCCCTGCTGCTGCCGCCCCTGCTGCTGCCAGACCACCGTGTGCCGCCCTGTGAGCTGTGTGCCCCGCTGCACGCGCCCCATCTGTGAGCCCTGCCGCCGCCCCATCTGCTGTGACCCCTGTGGCCTGCAGGAGGGCTGCTGCCGCCCCATCACCTGCTGCCCCACGTCCTGCACGGCTGTGGTCTGCCGCCCCTGCTGCTGGGCCTCCACCTGCTGCCAGCCCATCTGTGTGCAGGCCCCCTGCTGCCGGCCCCCCTGCTGCCAGCCTGCCCCCTGCCGCACCACCTGCAGGACCTCCCCCTGCTGCTGCAGCTGCTGCTGAGCAGGGCATCATCCCTAAGGTCCCTCAGGAGATGCCCGGGTCCATCCTGCTGTCCCTTAGCGCCACTGCAGAACTAAGAAGCCCATTTCTTATCTCTTATCTCGTAGTAGGCACTGAAGACACCTTGTCGGGCTAACTACTGATGAAGAGCACCCTGTCTTCTCAAGACCCTGTCCAACTCCAAATCATGTTGTCTGTTTTCTAATAAACTTTGCACTGTCAGCATAGAAATCATGGTCTTTGTGATATTTCCTTTCTGTAGATTTCTGTCTCTTTGTTTTGTCCAGAGATCTTCAAGGCAAGATGTCAAATAATCCTCTTACATTGTTTTCTGCAGTCATCTAAGTCCGGTCAGTGCCCTTATTATCCTTGGAAAAGCATTTACCGGCACAGTAGCTGAGTGAGGAAGATGGACATGGCTGTATTTCCATCACGTACATGGAGTCACACGTGCTCACTAGTCCAGACACATAAAACACCTTCCAAATGACCAGGAAGGAGGCTGCGTCTGGGCTGACACTTCTACATCCCAGTCAGAGGGTGGCTCACTGACCACCTGTCAGCACAGCACAGCACAGAAAGCCCAGTATGTGGGAGCTAGAAGAACCTTAAGGGACACCTGGCCAATCAACTGATATTGAAGCTGAGGAGCCATGTGTAATGAAAGATCAAATAAGTTCTTACTAATGTAATTATAATGTAATTATAACCACCAGTGTTCAGAAGAGACCCAAGAGAAGACATTCACCCCCTGACATTCACCCTTTAGGTCAAACATTCCTCTGAGTGTAGTTCGTTGGCCAGAGGAGCTCTGTGGTCTTCTGTGGTCGAGTATAACTGCTACTCGGTCAATGCATCCTCTGCTGTGCTACATCTGATTGTTATCTAGAATGTTACTCACAGTAGTGCCTCTTGTGGATGTTAAATTCACACCAGCTCCCAAGGGCTGCTTGTCTTTGTACTTTGGGCATTAATGGCATTTCCCAAGTAAATTAATCAATTGTTGTCAATCTTCACGCATTTATTAAACAGCTACTGTGGAAAGAGCGCCGAGTTGACCACCTTGAGGGAATGTAAAGCCATGAAAGAGGGCTCTTGCCTCAGAGAGGTTATAATCCACTTAGGGAGGTGAGGTATGAACAAGAAAAAAAGTCAAATAGTACATAATATAAGCAACATAAATATAGAAGAAATGCCAAAAATAGTTTAAAATAGTTGAACCTTGTAAAGCAATAACATCATATAATTGCCCGGTCATGTATTTAAGTAAAAAATAAGTAAACTGCCCTGGCCGATTTGGCTCAGCGGTAGAGCATCAGCCTGCGGACCAATGAGTTGCAGGTTCGATTCCAGTCAAGGGCACGTGCCTCGGTTGTGGTTCATCCCAGGCCCTGGTCGGGGCCGTGCGGGAGGCCACCAGTCGATGTGTCCCTCTCACCTAGATGTTTCTCACTCTCTCCTTCTCTCTCCCTCCCACTCTATCTGAAGATAAATAAAAAAATATCCAGGGGTGAGGAATAAAAAAATAATAAGTAAATTTTAAAATAGTCAACTATTTTGTGAGGGAAAATATGTTCTTCATGTGCATGCCTCTGCTTTAGGTATGTTTTTTTCCCTAAAAAAATATCTGGACCAATATGCAACAAAATCTAAGAGTAACTAAGAATAATATTCAGTTTCTTTTTTTATATTTTATTAATAATGTAATTTTTCAATGAAATCGTATTTTATTTTTAATACAATGTACTGTCTAAAACCTATATCTATTTTGGGAAAAGATATTTAAACTTTTCTCACAATTATGCTCTGTTTTCTAAAACCTGTCAAAGTCTAAATGGGATTTAAAGCAGATAAATTAGACAGCAGCTGCTTGTATTCCTAAAGAAGTCTTTTAGGCCGGCAGATGTGCCTCAGTGGATTGAGTGTCATCCCAATGACTGAGAGGTCCCGGTTTGATCCCCTCAGGGCACATGCTCAGGTTGCGGGCTCCATCCCCAGCTGGGGGCATCTGGAGGCAGCCAATCGATGTATTTTTCCCACATCGATGTTTCTCTCTCTCTTTCCCTTCCTCTCTCTGGAAAAATGAATAATAACATATTTTTTTAAAAAGAAGTCTTTTATCATAAATATCATGAAATACTGATTATGATAACACATGCCTTGAAAGAGCATAGTACAAGCAACAAAAGCGAAAATCAGCAAATGAATCTACATCAAACCCCAAAGCATCTTCACAGAAAAAGAAACAATCAACAAAATGAAAAGGCAAACTACTGAAAAGGAGAAAATTTTGCAAACCACATATCTGACAAGGGGTTGATATCCAAAATAAATAAGGAACTTCTACAGTTCAATAGCAAAATAGGGAACCAATCAAATTAAAAAATGAGCCGATGACTTGAATAGACATTTTTCCAAAGAAGACTTACAGATGGCTGAGTACATGAAAACATGCTCGACATTACTAATCCTCAGGGAAATGCAAATCAAAACCACAGGGTGATATCATCTCTTACCTGTCAGAATGGCTATCATAAAAAGAGCGAGAGAAACAAATGCTAGTGAGGATGTGAAGAAAAGAAAACCATGGTGCACTCACTGTTGATGAGAATGTAAATAGGTACAGCCACAGTGAAAGAGAACATGGAGGTTCCTCAAAAATATTAGAGGAGACCGAAAAATGGCGGCGGAGTGAACGGAGCTACACAGACCGTCTCCCAGAACCAAACTGGAATTACAACTATAACACAGACAAATCGACGGGAAAAACCAACAGAAAAGCAGCTTGCGAGGACCATACAACGAGGGACACTGACTCCATCCCGGTAGGCTTGCGAAGGCGCCAGACGGGGCTGGGAGCGCACGGTCGGCAGCTCGGCAGCGGCCTTAGCTATAAGCGGCGCCCGCGGGTTACACTCCCAGGTGGCCCCACAGCGCAGCCGGGACTGAGGCTAAAACAGCCACAGCCACTCACCTTGGGCTCCGGCAGAGGGAGGGCAGACTGGACTGGAACTGTGTCGGGACACTCGGGGTTTGGAGGGCTCTCGGAGCTTTGGCTGAGTGCAGCCACTCAGGACGGTGGCCACATTGCTTCTTCCCAGGGCTCTGAGAGAGGCAGCAGCCCCTCCCTCGGAGATCCAACCCCACCCTGTGGGCCATTGAAGTGTTAATTGAGGCTCACTAAGGACCAGCATCTGCCCCACCCTCGTGAAAGCCCCTTGGCTGAGCACCAGAGGGAGTTTTTCAATCAACTGACAACCCAAAACTCATCAATTAACCTAGACTGCTAGCTTCCAGGCAAAAAGCTAGAGGATAACAGTACGTTTCCTGGGCTGGCAGCTTTAACCAGGAAAGTAAGACTTGACAGTGGTGTTCAACGCGGGTCCTCCCTCGCTCATCTAAACACAGGAGAGGGAGCCACAAACAGCAGAACACCAACACCCACAGGGAGAACTTGACAGGCTCCAAAGCCCAGAGTGATAGCTAAAATGGTGAAACACAGAAACAGAAGCCAAATGAAAGAGCAAACCACCTCCACCGAAGATGAGATCAATGTGGAGCAATTAGGCATGTTAACAGAGCTAGAATTCAGAGCCATGATCTTGAGGAAGCTGAACAGCATGAGTAAGGACATAGAGACACTGAAAATAAGCCAAATGGAAATTAAAAACCAACAAGAAGAGATAAAAAATGACATATCCGAAATGAAAAACACATTGGAAGGTTTAAAAAGCAGAGTAGGGGAAGCTGAGGACCGGATCAGCGAATTAGAAGACAGGGTAGAAAAAATCAACCAATCAGAAAAACAAAAGGAAAAAACTATTAAAAAACAGGAAGACAGCTTAAGAGAACTATGGGACAACTGGAAACGTAATAATATTCGCATCATAGGAGTCCCCGAAGAAGAAGAAAAGGAGCAAGGGATAGAGAATATATTCAAAAAAATAGTGAGAGAAAACTTCCCTAATTTGGTGAAGGAAGAAGGCATTCAAGTTCAAGAAGCACAGAGAGTCCCAAGTAAGAAGAACCCAAACAGGCCCACACCAAGACACATAGTAATTAAAATGCCACAAATTAAAGACAAAGAGAGAATCCTAAAAGCAGCAAGAGATAAGCAACAGGTTACCTACAAAGGGAACCCCATAAGGCTCTCAGCTGACTTCTCACAAGAAACACTACAGGCCAGAAGGGAATGGCATGAAGTAATCAAAGTCATGAAAAACAAGAATCTGAATCCAAGACTACTCTACCCAGCAAGGCTATCATTCAAAATAGAAGATCAAATAAAGAGCTTCCCAGACAAAAAAAAGCTAAGGGAATACATTAGCACCAAACCAGCACTGCAAGAAATGTTAAAAGGACTGCTGTAATTAGCAGTAGAAATGGGAACAAAAATAGAACCACACTAAACAAAAATGGCAATAAATAAGTACATATCAATAATCACCTTAAACGTAAATGGACTGAATGCTCCCATAAAGAGACACAGAGTAGCTGATTGGATAAGAAAGCATGACTCATCTATATGTTGTTTACAAGAGACCCATCTCTCAACAAAAGACTCACATAGGTTGAAAGTGAAGGGATGGAAAAAAATTTTCCAAGCAAATGGAAAGCAAAAAAAAGCTGGGGTAGCAATTCTCATATCTGATAAAATAAATTTCAAAATGAAGACCATAACTAGAGACAAAGACGGCCACTACATAATATTGAAAGGATCTATCCAACAGGAAGATATAACCTTGATAAACATATATGCACCCAATATAGGAGCACCAAAATATATTAAAAATCTTCTGGAGGACTTCCAAGGAGAAATCGACAACAATACAATCATAGCTGGGGACTTCAACACCCCGTTGACAGCACTGGATAGATCCTCTAGGCAAAAAATTAGCAAGGAAACAGAGACTCTAAATGAAGCACTAGACCAAATGGATTTAATAGATATCGACAGAGAATGACACCCCAAAACTACAGAATACACATTCTTTTTCAAG